GCCGTCAGTGGCCCACTCGGCGGCCGCCGACGGCCGTCAGTGACCCACTCAGCGGCCGCCGACGGCCGTCACTTGCCACGACGTCGGTGGCGGTGTGGCTAACCGGAATATTAAAATGTGTTTTTCTTCTGACCGGTGGTGCCTACCCGGGTTGGAGAACATTAGCAGCAGCCGGATGTGACCAGATCTCACTCACCTACTGCCCAGGTCAAAGTCCTTGTGCTTTGAGGGCCATCCTCGAAGCCTTAGCCCAGTGACACTCCATTTAAAAAGTTAATAATGCAGCCCGCTGCAATTTTGAAAAAAAACGGGCAATTAATTAAGATAGTTTCGTAGATCGTATCGTCCTAATCAGAATAAACACTTCGATGCCGTTTGATCTGACGTCACAGCTGGGAGCAAGATCGCCACATTGACCGCATGGGTGGCGACTGACGCGCCTGGCGCGGCTTGAGGCTCCTTTGGTCCTGGCAGTGAGTTGAACTTGGGCCGTGCTCACCGCTTACCTCCGTCCCGGCGGCCTGGAATCTGTGTTCGCTCTGCGATCTTCGCTGGCTTTTTTAAAACCGTGGCGGGTGTCTCAGTAGTCTTTTTCAAATGCAATGCGGCGGAGCCAGAGTTCGAAGGGCGTCTCCTAACGACATGAAAAGGGTCATGATAGCTGCCCTGGCGCGAGATCCGTCCTCCCCGCTGACCCGATTCCCCCCCCCCCCCCCCCCACGACGCAGCGCCATGCGGAAGTTCCAGTCGCTGGACAAGCAGTCCCGCTCGGAGGCTGACGACACGGCTCTGGCAACGCTGCACCAAAACTCCATCTGCACCACGCGTATCGTGGAGGGCGACCGGACCGCCGCCCGTCGCGTCAGCACCAGCGGCGCCGACGGCCTGCTCGTCATCTGGGATGTCCAGGTCAGTGGGTCGGAGGCGGCGCCAACAGGTCCGAATCAGCTGTGTAGGGGAGGCACCAGCAGGTCTGGATCGGAGGCTGTGCAGGGGGGGGGGGGGCGCCAGCGGGGCCGTGGCAGGGGCGGAGCTAGCGGGTCCGGGCCAGAGGCTGTGTGTGGGGGAGGAGGGGGGGGGGGGGCAGCGAGTCCGGGTCAGGGGTGTGTAGGGGGAGGGGGTGCCCGCAGGTCCGGGTCATGGGTCACGGCGACAGGTCCGCGTCAACAAAGCCGTGCAGGGACGGCGCCAGGGGGTTGGGGTTGGGGAGGCGGGCAGGAACGACGTCGCACCATCCTTAGAAACTGGGGATGTGTCTGGAGCCTAGCCTGTCCTCACACATGTTTTTCTTCCGAGAGTTCAGTCCTGATTGGCGGTTGTTAAGGCATTGCAGTGCAAAGAAGCGTTTGACAACTTGTTTAGCAAGTATCGTGCCACACTGCGACTTGATGATTACTCGGATTTGAAAGCAGCTATGGAGTGCGGGGAGAGCGAGGACGAATATAATGTGGCGGGGGAAAGATTTGCCAGCACCCACCAATGATCGCTTAAAAGTGTTGATGCCTTGAATTTTTTAGCTTTACATTTTCGTAGTAAGTTATATCCTCATATTCGTAGCAAGTCTCTGGTGTGAGCGTTGTCCAGACGTATTGAGTGAGGGAGCGAAGCGAGTTAACGAACACATCGCTACATTAGATCAAATCCGAGTAAGTCTTGTTTGCTTGCCGACGTAGAATTGGTAGGTTTCTCACGATTACGAAGACGTACTGAATCGAGCGAGTCGCAGGAAAGTTGCGGATGAATGCCGAAGTCAGTGGACTCAATTTTCAGCGCTGCGAGTGCTCGCCGAACTTAAAGACTGCATGATCCTTCAACAACTGTGTTGGGCTATTGCTCGGCACGGGCATGGTCGAGCTGAGTGAAATAAGTGCGGAGGAACACCGCATTTGAAGCACTGCAATCAAGTAATCAAAACAGGCATTGTGCCTGGTCTGTGCTTTGCACACTTTTATTATTTTGAAATAGCACGGAGATCGAGCCCAATGTCGTTTTTGTAGTCAAATATGTGCGAAGTTGTTGCGCACCTCTTGAACATGCTATGCCTCTCAATGCTAGCAGTTGACTCTTAACATTGTACCGCAAGTTTTGGCCTTCGCATGTCTGTAACGAGGGGGGGGGGGGGTCCGTGACTATGGTGCTCTCATCTTGGCTGTCTTTATTCGGAGCGTTTGGATCAAATACAAACCCGAAAGTCGGAATGCTTTAGCTCTTTGGGATTTTCTGTTGTGGCAAGTTCCCGGGGATATCATAATTTTCTATGTTTGTTGGGAACAGGCAGGGAGATCAAATTTGCCGTTTTCGTCTGCCCAGTACCTTTAATACACATGCAACAGCTTCTTGTGCCAGACTGCCAACAATGGCCTCGGACCAACGCCGTTTTTTTCCGGGACATGTGATCCACAGATACAGCTCAATGAATTTAACCTCAAAGAAAGCGAGTAAGACGACTCAGATGATCGCAGGCGAAGCCTGGATGCCCCTGTTTCTGCTCAGAGGCTTTCTGCGAAATGTTTGCGTTTCATAATGTTTGCGTTTTTCACGCGCGACATCCAATCGCAACGCTCATTACAGGTTGGGTGTAATGTACGGGCACCCAGGAAGTTATACAGGTCTGGTGTAATGTATGAGTCAATCAGGGAATTGTAGTTGGGGCAATCTAGCACCACTGAGTGGTAGTGTGCGCGCTCGTCTGTGTGAAATGTAAGTCAGTGACCGAATCAGGGCTAATCTGACGACCATTACCTTGTGTGTTTTGCTGTAATCGCCACCGCCAGCCAATTAGATGCAAGGTCATAGTATCTGTACCCGATAGATACAATTTACAGCGATGGGTCGCCGGGCGTGGCAGTTGCATGCCGCCGGCGACTCTGAACTATAGCTCATACGTGTGTTTCTCCGCGTCAGATCTACCTTTCAATCCTCGACTAATCCGTCCCGTTTACATGGAATGCTCCTACAGCATATGCACAGACTGGGTGTCTCCATGCATGGGATGCACGGAGATGCATGCATGCGTCCCCCGGGATGCTCCTGCCGTGTCCGGGACGTCTTTTTTGCTATGCTGGCGGCGCAAAGAAACATCGCTTTCAGCACCTGGTATCAGGTGCTCATGCCGTGCCACTGGAAGCCTAGCTCGTTGTCACATGGAGGCGGTGTTCGGGACATTTGCACGAGGTGGTTGCGGTTATGAGATCAGCGTCACGTGTCAGGCATTTTGTTTTATGTGTATTGTAATGCATTATTTATATTTATTGCAGCCTCTGCAGTCGTCCATGGCCGGACTGAAGATCAAGTAAGATGAAACAGTGGATGCGGGACCAGGCGTATTCGTGAAGGGGCTCGCGAGGCCGAACGGCCCAAGCACAGAACCATTACTCCACATCATGGCCGCCACACTGCGATAGGCGCCGTCTACGTTCTACACGACCATCTCCGCTTAATTTTTGCATATGTATTCAAAGACAACGCAAACCGACTGGCGAACCACGCTTGTCGGTTGGATACCGGTGCTTTTGGTCCGATGGCTATCTCTGGGCACCGGGCCGTTCGCTCGGGCGTTCAGAATTTCCCCCCAGTGCCGCGAGATTGCTGATGGCCAAGGCTGCCTAACGGTGCATTCCCAGACGGATGTGCTTGTGGTGCAAAACTAAAAATATATGTCAATTTGCCTCGGCATTATTATCCTCAGTCCGGCCGAGGTGACAACTGCTGTCAACAGAAAACTATGTGAACTGGAACTTCGATTCGGACGCGTGATGTCGGACCACGCACGGAGCAAAATAACTAAGTGTCGGCATTATCTGGATTTACCGTGGAAATATCTAGGTTGCTGCATGCTATGGCCGAGGCGTTTCAACATGTTTAACCTGCACGCCTCCGAAGATGGACTGAAGAGTGTCTGCGCTGAGCAAGGCAACAGGGCTGCGAAAACTCCGCCTGTTCGCACTTGTTTACGACCTGATGGCGAGAGGCGCAGTTTGGAAACCACTGAAGAGTGTCTGCGCTGAGCAAGGCAACAGGGCTGCGAGAACTCCGCCCGTTCGCACGGGCTTACGACCTGATGGCGAGAGGCGCAGTTTGGAAGCCTGGCAAGTGGCCAAGGACCAAAGCGCCGGCACAATGGACCCTCTGCGACGAGCCTTCGACCACGTCCATTGACGCCTTGGCAATCCACGGCTTTCAGTGAGCAAGCCGGCTGATGGTTCGCCGCCGGTGGGGAAGGGGGAGGGCGTAGCAGGTGTGTGGTATTCCCCGGCGTGGAGAATGCCTGTTACACAACCACGGCTTGCCGGTGGAAAGTAATGAGATTGTTCCGGGCCCCGGGGTGTTTCACTCGTGGCGACATTCACATGCGCGTTTACCACGCCCCGGGCGATCATGTTACTCGGGAGCGCACACAGAGGTGACATTGCTCGGGGGCGCAGGCAGGGTGGGCGCCACCATACTGTTCAGCGTGTCGAGCGTCGGCGTCCATCACCATCCATCACCATCATCGCGGCTCAAAAGCGACTGGAAATCTTGGCATTTTATTGTTAATTCTGCACGCGGCAAAATCGTCACGAGAAAGTGTCCGACGGCAGAACCGCCCTCTGCATAACGCACGGACAGCTTCTCAACTTTGTACACTTGTCATCTGAGCTCGGGCATCGTCCCCAGGTTAGACCAGTGGGTGGGACCCCAGACCCCCCCCCCCCCCCCCGACACCAGGCTGCTCAGCTCAGTCGGTACGCCACGCTGGCGCGGAGCTTGGCACGCGGAATGGGCGGGAGCCGGCCCGGCGCCCCGCAACTCGCCGTGCCGCCGGTGCCGGCGGGGACCGCTGTCCCGTGGTGACCGCCGGCGGCCGGCAGTGGTGACGTCACCACGTCTGCCCGTCAGGAGAGCCTGCTGGCGACCGCTGAGCCGTCCCAGCGGACGGGCGCCGCCTCGTCACACGCTGAGCGGCGGCGTGCCGCGGGCAGGAGCGCCCCCTCGGACGTGGGGAGGAGGCTTGGCGTGGCGCTCGGGCGGCGTGCGGCGGCGCACCTCAGGCCGCGTACTGTTTGACCATGGCGCGCAGGAAGCGGGCCTTGCGCACGCCGGCCGCCTCGCGCTGGATCTCTTCGTTGTTGTTGGAGTTGAGCTCCAGCTGTCCGATCAGCCGGATCACCTGGAGCGGTCGATCAGACGGTATGCAGGTGTGGAAAACACTGATGCGCGATCGACGGGCACCGAGAAGCTGATATGTAATGAACGTCGCCGAGAAGGTGCGTTGAGACACCCTTCTCGGTGACGTTCATCTCTCACAGGAGGATAGTGCTGACGGCGGTGCAGTTACGATCATCCAAAGCGATACAACGTGGTTATCGTAAAACTAGCGCCTACACACGGAACATGTTACGTCTTTAGTGACAAAAAGGCCGCAGTATTGCTGATGATGCGCAGACCGTCGTGGGTCGTGTTTTACTACTTTACTACTACAACTGCAAATTATCGGCACTAAACACGAGCGCCCGCGGTTAGGCGTCATATCAGTCTCACGCTGCTAATGCGCTGAGCTCACCTGCTGCCGCTTGTCGCGTTCTGAGCGCTTGTGGTGCAGGTGCGTGAGGTACTCGAGCAGCGTCATGTCCCAGATGCAGTCGTAGTATGCGTCCATGGCGTCGGCGCAGTTCCGTTCCGCCACGTACTGGAACGCGCTGGCGTAGTCCACCTCGTCCAGGAACTGGCACAACACGGCCGCCTGCGCGGCAGGCGCGGAGGTCACGGCCATGCCATCGTCGTCACCATTAGAAAGCTGCACGAGCGCCACTGTCTCTAGCAGTTGCTGAAGACGCTCACACAGGATCAGGGTGCCGGGAGGGCTGAAAACACTGGGACAGCACTGCTGCCCGCCCGGCACAGCGGACTGGGAGGCGGCGCACGATTCCGAGCGAAGCACAGGACTGTCGTCCAGTGGATATCTCAGAATGGCGGCAGCCATTCGGAGAAGCGGGTGCGCGCGCGTGATGCACAGACAATGATAAACTAAACCGCGAAGCTGGCATTGTTTTGAAGCTGCCACCTAGTGAAGGAGGGTTTAGGAGGTGAGTCTCACCACAATCAGTGTGTGCCAGTGTAACGTGCAGCGGCACCCAATCTCTGCCCACTTGCAACAGCGCCGAGCACAGAAACCCTGCGAGCTTCTCCCTGTGTGCAACACGAGGACCAGCTCTTGATCCCAGCCGCGCTGTAGCGGAGTCGTCTGGAGCGAACAGCTCGAGTCTCGCCTGTGTGTGGAAGCTGCAGCGTGCACTGCGAGTCTCACCTGCGTGTAGCAGTGCAGCGTGGAGCAGCACTTGATCATGCACCGCAGCACGGCCTGCCAGTCTCACCTGCGTGTAGCAGTGCAGCGTGGAGCAGCACTTGATCATGCGCCGCAGCACGACCCGTGAGTCTCACCTGCGTGTAGCAGTGCAGCGTGGAGCAGCACTTGATCATGCGCCGCAGCACGACCCGCGAGTCTCACCTGCGTGTAGCAGTGCAGCGTGGAGCAGCACTTGATCATGCGCCGCAGCACGACCCGCGAGTCTCACCTGCGTATAGCAGTGCAGCGTGGAGCAGCACTTGATCATGCGCCGCAGCACGACCCGCGAGTCTCACCTGCGTGTAGCAGTGCAGCGTGGAGCAGCACTTGATCATGCGCCGCAGCACGACCCGCGAGTCTCACCTGCGGTAGCAGTGCAGCGTGGAGCTAGCAACTTGATCATGCGCAAAGCCACGACCCGCGAGGTCTCACCTGCGCTGTAGCAGTGCAGCGTGGAGCAGCACTTGATCATGCGCCGCAGCACGGCCTCACTCAGCACGGTGCGGGGCACGGGCCGCGTGAAATACTCGGAGCTCACCAGGCACGCCTCCAGGTAATACCGCAGCGATGAGGTGGGCTCGTTACCCGCTGCCGACAGGATCCGGTTCCACGGGTCATTCAAAGGCGCCATCGTGTCACCGCCAACGATGTGTCTTTGGGTGAGGTTTTGGTATCGTCAATAATGCATCCATTCATACAGATGTTGGTAAAACATGGCGTTTTGATTAGTCAGAATCTTTAAAAGCACACTCGGTGTAAAATATTTGCCCCCGCCAAACGTGCACACCACAAGACAATTGTACATAATCAAACACGTGCTTTCAAAACGCCGTCAAACTAGGTTGCAACCTATGACAAATTGGACACCCAAAAATCAGATGCTCCTAACGTGCTACGGTCGAGCTGCGTGATCATGACGTGAACATAACGCTGGGCGGCAAAGCCGTGGAGCATCTGGATCTTTTGAGCCACGCTTTTACCCTTCGAAAAACATCGGCCTCGACACGGCGCCCTTGTGTGCGTGCGTGTGTGCATGTGCATGCGTGCGCGCGTGTGTGCATGCGTACATGCATGCGTGTGCGCTCACCGTATCGGAGGTCGGCCATGGCCTGCAGCCAGGGTATATGGCAGGGGTAGAGCCTGATCCCCTGGGTCAGCAGCGTCTGCAGACACTCGGACACATTCTTGATGGAGAACAGGTTCGGGCTGGAGAAACATCAGGCGCGCGTCAGTCACGTATCGGGGCGTGACGTTGTATCGGCGTACACCACATTCCGGTACTGCCAGCATTGGCGCGCTGCACGGAGGTGGCCCGCACCGACTCCCACCTGGAGGTGTTTGGTAACCGAGTCTCCCCTGACAGGTGAGGGGTGCAGTTCTGCCCAGGCGTATTCCTTCCATCCATACCTCAATTTAACCCCGTTGAACCCTCGGTCGATGCTGGGCTTCCAAAGTTCCACGTTACTTTTCGCTTCGTGTTTATTTCTATAGCTCGACTGTTACAATTTCAATGGGTAGGTTATTACAGCCACAATAATGTAAGACACAATAATACACGGGGACCAGGTTCCCGGACAAAAAATGCCGGGAAAAAATGGATGCCCAGAAAACCAACAAAAAAATGCCGAACGAAAAAAAGTGGAAAAAAATGGTCGAAAGATCCATAGGGATACAGGCCGACAGGGCTTTAAGTCCAGTCCAAACAATGTCGAGGCATAAAAAGTCAAGAGGGATACAAGTCGCCAGGAATAAATCTGAATTGTAAAACGACACTAGGTATAAAATGCGACATGGATAAAAGTCGATAACAAACAAACGCACAATAAGCGTATATTTGGGTAAAAATAAATAATCAGGAAGGCGAGAGGATTTCAGACTGACGAATCCGAATGATTTGGCTCGTGGCATGAGGGGGATGGTACCGATTTGACTCGTGGCATGAGGGGGATGGTACCGATTTGGCTCGTGGCATGAGGGGGATGGCGCCAATTGCACTCTGAAGGGTCCATGTACTGAGTGGGTCTCGCCGCCTCGTATCCCTGGGTCCTCTAATTTGGGCCCGGCTGTGCTCGTCCAGCAAACGCCCTTGGCAGGAAGCCAGCCTTCCAGCCTTCACACCGACCAGTGCAACCCACCTTAGGGTTATCACATGGTCGGTCTGTTACGGGAACCTTGCAAGCAACTCTCAATATGCCTGTGAAAATCCCCTCTCAGCCATTTTGTGGGACGGCCGCAATCAACACAGGCGCCCACGGAAGAAGGCAGCGCACGGCGGTGGCGACCACCGCGAATCCCGTTTTTTTTGTTTTTTGTTTTTTGTTTTGTTAAATCTGGTGCTGGCCTGACACGCGCCTGGTTCCAAAGAGGTTCCCACTTCTTCCTTCTGAAGACGAGATCTTGGATCCCGGGTTCCGGATCATTATTTTATGAGCCCCATCCCTTGGTTTATTGGCCCATTGGGTTGATTTGCGACCACGGTGCGGTGATTCCTGGTCCTCACTGGTTCTTTCGCAAATACAATACAAATTTAGCTTCCTGGTTATTCTACAAACACCAGCAGCTAATTCCTGTTTCCCACTGACTATCCACAAAGAACAGATTGGATCCCACCCGTTTTTTCCACAGACACCAAACCCTGGTTCTTGTTTCTAATTGGTGCTTTGGTTTACACTGGTAGAGCGTTTTCCAACCTTCATCCCCGTCGAATTGAATCCCTTTCGCACTTTGATGTGATCTGACTTATCCCGGTTGGCTTCGTCCTTTGACTTCTTCCCGATTCGACTATTATCTTTTTTTAACTTTCCCGTTTCGACTTCGATCCCTCTTGGCTTTAAGTCCTTCTATTTCTTGCCCGATTAGACTTCTCCGCCTTTCCAATTTCACGACAGTCTGCTTTTTCTCCTCTGATTTTTTCGTTCGACTTTCTCCATTCTGCTTTTCCATGCAACGTTTGTTCGGACGTCCGCGCGTCTATTCTGACCTTTACAACACAAAGGAATGCCCGAAAATGTTGCTAAAACTTGCGCTGCCAGATTAGCAGCCATGGATTCTTTTGCTGCGCAGCGACGACAGTCCCAGCTAATTTTCACGACGCAAAACCGTCCGATGGTAGTTTTGTTGCGTACTGAGCAGCCAGGCGTGCCGATGTGTGGTGGGAACGATTGGTAACATATACTGAAATCAAGCCCAGGAACGTGACCAGAAGCTGTTGGGAATTGAAGTTTTCCTCTCATAAATTGTTTTGCTTGTAACGAGCACAGAAATTCGAGGTCAGAACACTGAGGATCTAGAAAGATGAATGTGGCGCTGCGTTTACCCAAGATTTTGCTTGGAAGACAAGTGGGAGTGATTTACAGATGCTGCTTAAGCACGGCAGGCCCAGACATCAAGGAACACATTGATGCGTTAGTCAAGGGCAATAAAGTAGTGGTTTTCATGAAGGGTGTGCCTGAGCAGCCAAGGTGTGGTTTTAGCAATGCTGTTGTCCAGATCATGCGGATGCATGATGTGAAATATGATGCACACAATGTCTTGGAAGATGAGTCCCTCAGGCAGGGCATTAAAGAGTACAGTGATTGGCCAACTATTCCTCAGATTTACTTAAATGGAGAGTTTGTTGGTGGCTGTGACATTCTACTCCAAATGCACCAAAGTGGAGAACTCATTGATGAGTTGAAGAAGGTTGGCATCAAATCAGCCCTGCTTGAAGCTGCAATGAATGAAGGCAAGGATGGAAAGTGAAATGGTAATTTTTCACCCAGCTGGGTAGGTCAGCAGCAAGTTTCAATGTGACAATGTCCTTATTTTGAGTGTCTGCAAATGGGGGGAATACATTTGGATGCCCAATGTCTTGGATTGGTTTGAATATGGCATGATCATTGGTCATATAAGAAAAAATGGCAATCTTAGCCAACAGTAGTTTTTTATGTTAAAAACACTATAACTGCACAGTGAATATAGGGTGGTGGTCACATTATATCAAACATATGATAAATATTGTCAGTGCACCCATCTTTCATGCCCCCAAGCACAAAACATACTTGGGGAAAGTAATACAAATTACAATATCCACCCCCACCCCACTGTAAAAGCATGCTTCAACAGGCAATGTCTAGGTCATGGATTACATGGGTACCTGATGGTGCAATGTCATCTTGTCCATTAACTGATGTTTTTAAGACATCAGACATAAATAATCATGAGCAGAAATATTCCAGCAACATCTTATTGCATTGCCTTCAAATATATATACATATATATATATATATATATATATATATATTATATATATATAATTAAGATAACAGCAGACATCAAACATCATTCTGTCACAATGATGGTGCAGTACTATTGCATCAAGGTCACACTGACAAATTAACAAGTGATTGCGTGTTCAAGGTGGAGTTCTTAAAATGCCCCAAATGGTTTTGTTTTAATGGATAGCTTGGTAAGATCTATCACTGAAAAGGCAATGATCCTCCCAGTGTAACCAATGCTTGTTACAGATTGCCCTCCATGAGAATGTTGCCACATAGTACAACATGTGATGGTACTAGGCCACCAGGGGCTCCCTGCCACCACTCTTCACATTCACACATAGCAGGAACTGAACTGAGTTGCTGCAGCCTGGATATGGGTGACTATGTTGATGCAAACAGTCACAAGATATACAGAAAGGCATGCCCTGGTTGCCATGGTGATGAAACAGTCTACATTGTAACGTGCCTAGCCTTCAGTGAGTACTGCTATCAGTAGCTGAGCACCACAGATTGTGGCCTACAGCACAGAGCCGGTTCATCAGAGGCATATGGCACTGGTGGCTACACTCACTCATTGACGACGGTGGGCCACAGCACGGCGTGCTCCAGACTCATCTCGCGCGTTGAGTCGTCCAGCAGGATGTTGTGCAGGCGCGTCAGCAGTGACGTCAGCACACTCAGGCTCGTGTGCTCGTGCACCTGCCGGCAGCGCCGCTCGTGGTACACCCTCCCGCCCGTGTCAACAGCAGACTGGCTTTGCTCACAAACCTTGGGAACGATGCAAACGCGTGCCCTTGCTGACGACTACCCAACATCACACAGGCGAACGGCGCAGAAGTACACTGCGCCGGCCGCCGCCGTATCGCGGCTGTCGTCTTCCCGTTGTCTGATCTGGCTCTGCGTACAGCAGCACAGGTCCGACCGCAGCGGCAGGAGCGTGCCGCCCGGCCGCGGCGGCGGGACCGCAGCGCGCCGGGCTGAGTCCGTCTGCCCACCTTCTGTATGAACTGGGTGAGCTGCGTGCGCGACATGATGCCGTGCGGCGAGTCGCGCTGCACGGCTGAGCTGCCGCCCACTGCCGAGCGCTTCTGCTGACCGGTCAGCAGGAACATCGGGATCACTGCCGGGGGGCCGATCGCGGTCAGCCAGTCAGCCGCCAAACGACTGCAGAACTGGCAATACCGGCGTGGACACGGAGCCGCCGCACAGCAGCCATACGGAACATGAGGACACGGGGCCATTAAGCAGACCAAAAAGCTTCAACACAGATAAACACGAACATAACTGGGCGAAACCGTAACGGTGGCCCGGTGCATAGCGGACACGATGCTTGCGCTACTGCGGCAAGCCAGCCACCGACGTTCTCCGCCACCCTGCTCCCCAGCCGCGTGGCGGGGCCCGCTCCACCGCAGCGACTCGCCTGCGTTCCAGAGGTCGCGCGACATCTTGCGGTTGTTGCCCTTGTTGACGAGCTCGCGGCAGACGGTGGCGAGCAGCGCGGCCAGGTCCACCTGCGACCAGCGGCGCTCCAGCTCGCTCAGGTGGTCCCACTCGCAGACGTTCAGCAGGGTAGAGCGTGCAGTGCTCCATGAGCTCGGAGCGCGGGATGACGTCGCTGCCCGTCTGCAGGGCCGACAGGCACGCCTTGGCGCGTGACGTCAGCTCCCGGTAGTCTGCCGGGCAGGGCGGCCGTCCACACGTGCCGTTGGTGATGCGTCACGTGGGCGAGCACGCGACGCGCCGCTCATCTCGGTGCGGTGGCGGCAGTGAATGACCGTCGAGCCTTGTTAAGACGCGACGTGCAAAAAAAAAGACGGCACAGGCGACAGAGCAGCAGCGTCGCTGAACACGGTCGGCCAATCGCCAGACATCGTGCGTGACGGTACAGACGCGAGAACTGATAGAAACAAGGCTTGCGCCATTTAGTTTGTGCACCGAATGTCATTTCCTCCTTGCCGTCTAAAAGTGTTCTTTGACGGTCTGCCAGCGCGTGCAGCAGCTGTCGGACGCACCTCCCAGCTTGGGCCAGTTGTGAAGGAGCTGAAGCAGGTCGGCCAGCAGCTGCTCCCAGCCGATCAGGCGGGCCAGCTTGGCGGCCGTCTGGCCCTGCGGACCGGCGCCCGACTGCGCTTCCTCCAGGATGGCCTGCAGCAGGTTCCGCGAGCCGTCGAACCGCTGCCGGGCACAGAGGGTCAGCGCCGTCAGTCCGCCGCCCCACCGGTCCCGCCGCTGCGGCCGCCGACTCAGCAAGCCCGGCATGCCGCGCAGCGGCGGCCCGTCAGCACTGCAGCATCGCCGAACTGAAGAATTCTCTCAAAATGTTGCCATTTTGCACCAGTTGTTAAGGTGTTTCAACAGCACCATCGATCTCACAGGCGAACGGTGGGACTTACATTGGCTCCAAACTTACATTCCGAGAACAATATTTTACAACTCAGTGCCCAGTTCCAGTGCAAATAACAAATGCGGGAGTCAAGGACCGACACCCGACGCTCATTGTTCAAAGAATGCGTAATATCCCGACCGTCGATCAGTATCACTGGGTTTTTTCGACGCACTCAGGTGCTGAGGCTTTATGGCGTCGCCTGCTTCTCGTCCCTGGCAGGAAGGGCGGGCACCGCGGGTAGAGCACGGTGCCCGCCCGGTGAATCTAAACCCGCACCTCTAGTTTTCCAGACGCGCGATGGTTGACGCAGGCACGTTAACTACTACACGCCCCCCACCCGCCGTGGCCGTAGATCAAAACGTAATATCGGCATACAACCATCACCTGCATGAGCCATTACAGATCTTCAGTACGCAAACGACATTTGTTTAAATTTCCACCGCGTCGAAAAATAGTATTTGACAACTGACCACCACCTGCCTCGCTGCGTCAACACCACGTGCCGCCCCATTACGTTGTCCACGTCAAAGCCCCGAAGGCCGTTTGCAATGGAAGGAGTTAAATGGCATCTCTAAGCTGTACTTTTCACTAGGTTCCCTCACCTGTGAAGTAAACCACCACACTGCCGTTCGAGTAAACCAAGCACCTGATAAAACGCAACGTGCATGAAGCTCTTGAACAGTCTTAACTTGTAAGTAATTGTGCTACTTGGTGTCACAAATGCGGTCAGCGGGTGCAAAGAAGCAAGCCCGTCAAAGACGTGACTGGCCGGATGGGACCGCTGAAGCCACGGAATGTAGGGTTAGTTCACGATAAGGCTCCTTCGTTTCTTTCTTCTTCGCAAAACGCCCACCTACTTATATTCCAAATAACGCGAAACTGATTAAACCAAGAAACTGCGTCACGTGTGAAAGACAATTGCTAACTCAAGTTCAGCGTCCTACAACAGGTGCATTTTCACTGATTTCAAAAGCCCTTGTTCCCATCCGCTGGAGCGTAAGATAACGACTAGTTTGTGACATGCATGTTGTTCATTTACTGAATCATGTGTGGCGTTACGGGTGTTTTTTCATGCTTTCGTTTGCTAGAGATAGATTGTGATCTGAACAGGATTTTCACACCAGACCCTAATTACGGCCGAAACCGTCATAGTTCCTGAACTTACATACCACCTAGCCACGGCACTTACTTTGAGAACTATTTACTGCGAGACGCGGTCAAGAACGCAGACGGCAACTGCCACCGATCAGCCCTTATGGGTGGCCGCTAGCTAACGACCGGAGGTGGCGCGAGGCGCCAGCTTGATGCACTGGGGCTGAACTGTCTACGCGCGAACGGCCGTGTTTCCGGCACTTCTTGAAAAAAAATAAAGCACGAACGCAACACCTAGCAACGTAGTGTAATCGTCCTTGCTGTGTTGAGATCCATTCAATTTGGAAACATCCCACCATTTCGTGGTGATCACATCCAAACATCGCTTTGGTAAAAATTGGTTGTGACAGCAAAGATTGAGGAAGCAAAACGACTGTCGCAGGCGCCAACATGAAGTCAGTAAAGAAGTTAGTGCAGCTTTTTTACAGAAACACTGGTGGTAATTCTTCAGTTCTTGTACCACATGTCAAGCCGAGTTGGTGGTCGTGTTTAGTATGTTTTCTATGGGTTATAACCACACAGTCACCTCTTGCGGCGTGGCACGAGCGATGCACTCACAGACGTTACTGTCATCGCCATGCACATAATACCAAAGCATAAAGAACGATCGACTTCGTCGCATTTGATGGACCGAACAATCCTGTAATGAGCTTAGAGAGCAGAGGTCTTCTGATGATGAGCATACGCAGACACATTCACATGACGACGGGCATGACATGAGAATCAGCTGACTGCGTCTGGCCTCGCCTGGCACTTGTAATCGGGTCCCGTCCAGCCGTCCAGCGAGTCGATAAACTATCTCACATTGGAACGCGACATTCGGCCAGGGCCGTGGAATGCTGCAAACTTCGGTACCATTCGAATCAGTATGCTTGTGGAGCACCACGTCCTTAATGCTGCACATATCACGCTCCCACTGCATCATTACACTATTTGATACCCTTCTTTTCCCACTGTGCCACACATCCCCTCTGGTCTTTTACGATCAAGCTAGGGGAAGGTACTGGGACGAATTCCCTTCCTGTCTTAACGACCCTCCCCTCGACCCAACCTGGCGAGGACGCCCTCAGCAACGCCTCAGTCGGCTCAACCCTTCATCCAGCCGGCTGGACAGCTGGTTAGCCCAGCACGACCAGCACCCAGCCCCAGTACCAGCCGGCAGCGGCACGGAGTCGCCTCACCTTCAGCTGCAGCAGCTCCCTGGCCTTGGCCATGATGATGTAGAAGTAGTCGCGTCCGAAGCCGGCCGGCAGCGACATGATCACACTCTGCACAGGGATGGGCAGCTCCCAGCGGGTTTACACAGCGCCAGAGGGCGCGGCCCGGCTGCAGCTCGGCCAGCTGACGCAGCGTGCGGCCTATTTCGGCCGGCGAGTACGACTCGATCAGACGCCGCTCAAGGAACCCCGCCTGGCGACACAGAGTACGGTACGACCCAGACGCCGCTCAATGACCCCGCCTGGCGACACAGAGATACGCACGACTCGATGAACGCCGCTCTGAACCCCGCCTGGCGACACAGAGGTACGGCACGACCCGATCAGACGCCGCTCGAAGAGCTCTCCCCCCCCCCCCCCTCCCCCGTGGACACAGGGCGTGACA